TTTATATCTTCCGGTTTCAACAGAAATCGGGGAAAATGCGTAACGAAAGAGTGTATAAGCCCTTCTGAAACATCTTTTCATGAAGTTCTTAACTACTGTATACGATCTTCAGTAAATAATTCAAATTTGAAATTACGGTAAATTTTAGGCTTATTTCATTGTCTGCAGTCAGTTGGTTGTTACCATACACCAGTGATGCTGGAGTACAGCAACATGAAACTGTTTACCGTATGTAATGCAAACTATTTATGTAATGCATGAATAAAGTTCAGGGTTTGTGAAAATGAGTACGCTGCGGTATTCATTTTCACACAGCTGGTCAGCTAACATGTGCAAATGTTACATGAACACCTGACAAGGAAGGTGCAATATCACATTCGGTTGCCTAGCATACGTCTGTAGTGTGTGTGTGTGTGTGTTGGGGGGGGGAGGGGACGGTAAACATAAGTTGGTTAGCCAACAATATGCAAATGTTACATAAAACCTGGGAAGGATGGCACTCACGTTCTGTTGCCTAGCCCACTGTACGGATGTACTGTGTAGCGGGGGACGATTAGGCTATTTATTAGTAAAACTAGGCCTTCCAAAGAAATAAATTAAAATAAGAAAAAAAAATTAACCAAAGTAACAACTCCCTGGTAAGAATAACCAAGGAGGTATTTATACCTCCTTGGAATAACTCAGTTGCAGACGTACCTTGTTTAGTATTAGACAACGGGGCTCTTGTAGCACTAGCTAGGCAAAGCATCCATTTCCAAAGCAGTGGTGTTTATCCATGAAAAAAGCACGCCGGGAAAGTTTGACGTACCAGGAAAAGGTGACGTAATCTTATGGCGTATGCATGTTAACTATATCAAAGAGTATTATTATACTCTTTGACTATATTGTGAATGTGACGTCACCAAAAAAATTCTATATACAACAAAAATATTATTAACTACAAGGTTTGTGGGTGTAAATTCCATAATACGAATTAAGGGTAGCACCATCTCCTTGCCATACAAATTACAGCTCTCACTGACGTCTCATTTAAGAAACTCAGAAAAATACGGGTAGCTAAGTTTTTCTCGCAAATCTGACTTACACTGAGGGCGGCGTTCCGGGAACCCTGCGTCGAGTCCTGCATTCGTTTTACCAAAATACAATCAACGTCTACCACAATCGGTATACAACATGGAAAATGTATACACATCTTCACTTAAATCGCTATTTGCTATTTAAAAAGTCAAAAATCTACCAAAATGATCCATCTTTTGTGGCTAATAGAATCCTAGGACCAGCACTAAATTTCTCTATTTAGAGGATTAAGAAATACATTAAATGGTTTAGAAGTACATCAGTTAATGCATGCTGCATATATCTATAGTAAAAAGATTTCTTTGACATCCAGACATTAATTCCTGTACTTGTTGTAAGCAACTTCCCATTAAAATATTACTTGTATCACTATTACTCAAAATACAAATCATCATCCTGTGAGGTGCATTGGCTAATATTTTTATGTTCAAGCGCCCTCACAACAAGATTCATTACAAAAATAATAGCATTCATCACTATTTTAGAGTGGTCTTTAAGTGGAGGACAACATTTTGATTTGGGTTTTCCAAAACCATGGTCATTGGTCTCGAAATAGAGGGAGCCTTTAATATTGGATGGAGACCTGTATGATAATTATTAATTCGAATTTAAATGTTCATTGAACATTTCAGTTTATGTATTCAAAAATACACGCAGTCTCGAACTTAAAAGTATGATCACTCTGTTAATGTAGATGCAGCTTAGTTGTAGAAACCGAAAGGTCCACTGATTAATCTCAGATAAGAAAATATAATACATACTCCAAGTATTGAAATGCACGCCATCTTGTTGGGACTCAAAATTTCGACATTCTTAGTTGTAGAGGATTTTAAAAAGTGCTCATATTTAATCCTATTAAAAAAACTCATATTTAATCCTATTAAAATATAATTTTTTTTTATTGCCGTAAAAACAGTGGCAGATCCAGTGCTGGCGACCGCTCACCACATTAATTGAAGTCGCCAAAAAATCTCCAACCAGCGGCGCACAGTGGTCCAGAATGAAGTCAAAGTGTGCCAAAATTAATTACTCATTACAGAAGGTAATCTAAACGAATATAAGACTTACCTGGAGGTTTGCATACCCGTAGAATTCAATAAAAGCATTTTCAAATCTATATGACGTCATTTTTGTACTGTTTTCTGATTGGACGATGTCAGTTTTCATTGTAATACCAAAACAAGTTCATATTTCAATGATTTTTGAAATGTTTAGGGAGGTTTGGGACAAAGGAACTTCTGGAGAATCTTTTTGTATTTTCCATGACGTCATCAAAATACATTTTTCTGATTTGACCGGGCCAAAAGTGTTTTAGGCATTTTTTTAGTAAGATTCCGGTTTGCGCCTCAGGGGTGACGCCTGAATTCGTCGGGAAGAAATAAAATGTGTATGTATTTTCTACACAAGTAGACTTTAAAATCGAGTCTTCTTTAACGCCCCTTGCAATGCTGCATAAAGAAGTTCAGTGCGTACATTTTATGTCAACATCAAATGTCAACATCTCTTGTACTTTACTCTTGTGCGAACTCTCTGAAAGATCCTCCCATACTTCGATAGGTTTGGGCTGTCTCTTGTGGGTTTTCTCTAGGTGTTGAAAGAATGTTTCTGTTCTGTGTAAAAACATACGGTAATAACTTCATTCGAAAACGGAATCCTGTTGTCAAGCCACGAGTTATTTTTTTAGAAACCCAGCAAACACGTGTTTACTTTCTTATAACGTTCGTGACGAACGTTGTGGTTAGGTATGTCACAAAATAACGTTAACAACGTTGTAGGAACGTGCAAACGTTGTGAAATTATGTTCAGTACGTATTTATGGTTCTACAAAATCAAGTTTTCAACACAAAACTGTAACGTTATTGTCACGTTATCATAACATAGTATTGTTTGTTGGGAAGGTCGTTACTACTCGCGTAGTAGCTCACCTCTTAAGTTGAAACAGGAAGCTTTTCAAAGTCTTTGGTGGCTTTGAATAAAGTTAAAAACAATTGACGCCTAGATATAGGCCTGCTTGTAGATATAATCTTCATTATGATATATATATATATATATATATATATGGATTATTAGGCTGCTCAAAATTTAATAAAGTATTCTAAACAGCAACAAAATATTACAAGATTTGCTACTGTTAAATCACGAGCAGTTTGTCAATTTTTGGAGTGTTTTTCCCACGCTTTGCATGAACTGGTTGAGTAGACGAGCGTACATCCCTACTGATTGAGGTTTGCTCTAATTAAACTGTATCTCATTTGTGCGAAAACAAGACTGATAAAAGTGCACCTAGCTCGCAAAGTTGCAAAATGTAGCAGCTAAATTTGGTACCATCATAAAGCTAAGGCTATACTGAAGATGGTGATGTAAAAATTAAAGCATGAATCCACATGAATCTAAACTTTCTCTCCTATTTTTCTAAAAATAGGTTTTTAAATATTTTTTCTGCCGTTTAAACAACGATTTATTATTGATGCAAACTTCAAATTTAAACCAAAACATATTTGTGTTCCCCAATTTATATACAAAAAACGTGTACATTTTAAAGTAATTCCGAATTTTCTGTAAGAAAAAAAAATGTGTTTTTATATAATATAGTCAATTATAGCATTTGAAATATTTAGAGAGAAATTTCCGACATTTGTTAAAAAATACCATCCTTAAAATTCGTTTAAATGTAAAATATTTTCAGGATAGATTCACCAGGGTATACCCTTCTTCAATCATGTGAAAAAAGTGTAAAAGCCATAGTCACCAAAATGGACTTTTGGCACACTTTGATTTCGCCCCGGCCCACTGTGCGGCGTAGCTAGGTGCGAAAGGGTCCCAGTGCAAGATTAATTGCCGGACCCTTTGATATGATAGGGAAATTCCAAAAATTCATTGTAAGAATTTCTTCTTAACCCCTACTCCTAAAGGACTAGGTTAGTAATAAATACTAATGATAATCGGATTTGTAACTATTTTAAGGGGGCATATTCGGTCTCAGCAGCTATTCTAAATTAATCAAGAAAAATGGTAGCACGTAAAATTGGCGGATCTGGGAATTCGAAATAGAGGGGCAAGGAGATATTTTCACAAACAGAAGATGTAGACCTCCTCAGACCCACCATGGTTGGTTGGGGCTGAGGTAAGAAAATTTATTATTATAGTACCTGTAGATAGCCGGAAATGGCACTCGCAGACTTAATAATTTAATTAATATATTTTCCTTTTTTTTAAATCAACAATAATTAGACCTACTCCTCTAAAAAAAGGAATAATATTGAGAGGCTCGCTGGCCGTATTTTTTTTTCTTAAATTAAATTGGAAATTACTTTAAATTATTTTAGGTCTATTTATGAATGAGCCACTAATTATAGTCCTGGGCCCCAGTGCTTTGCACTGGCTGCACTGCCCGTAGCGACGCCAATGTCTAACAAATTGTGCAATTATTTAGTTATCAACAATGATTATCATCAGCATTATCATTAATATTATTATTATCACAATTAATTATTGTTATCCTTATTAACCCTCATCATTAAGGCTATCAATATCATATCGTCGTCTTCATCGTCATCATACTTGCCATAATCATTTCCATTTTCATCGCCAACATCATTATACCCATCATCATTATAATTATTTTTATTAATTTTAATTCAAATGCTCATTGGACATTTCAGTTTATGCATATATAAATACATGCAGGCCTAACAAATTATCAGTGTTGTAGCTATGGAAATACCCCACCTTAGGTCCCATCCTCTTTAACGACAGGTCTCGTATCTTGTACTCTCTTCCCGCATAAAGACCCTGGAAACGCCATTTAATTATTTTGCTTGTGTGGACTACGGTTCCATTCACGCAAATGGTATTTCTTAATCTTGTATGCTGAACATCCACTACCATTTGCAACCTCTATAAAGACAAATTAAACAACTCACATTATTGACTGGATTTTGCACATACGCTTGAAATAGTAGATCACCTGCTGCTAGGATAGTTAATAGAATAAAAACACGGAGAAGCAGCATTTTTCTCTAACACGAATTCTCGTCCGCTGGAAGCACGCTGACCGTCGATTCACTGTGTGAATACCTTTTAAACGTCGATTACGTAACTGGTAAATTTGAATATAGGCCTAGGTCTGTTTCCACAGTTGCATTGCTTGAACATGATGAATACGTGAAAAAAAATGTCTGACATGGATTATAAACATTACGTTATTTTCATGTTGTGTACCTGTGGTATGATATGTACCTACGGGCGACCGTCGACAATTACAATTAACTATGGAATGTATGTTAGTATGTTTTGTTTTTAATTTGAATTAACCATAACCACTACTGGTATGTAATTGATTGTTAAGCCTAAAGTTGAATTAAAGTAATCTCGGCTCAACCAAATCTTTTGTATCGTATAGTCATAAATACTCGGTTTGTGTGATATTACTTTAGCAAGTAATTCAATGTTAATATTACACTCGCCTTAGTGTGGCCCTACAATATTGATTATGACATCATATTTTGTCGCAGTATGCAATTCTATTTTAGCATGTAAGCCTATTATTGGATAGTAAATGTGGGAAGAGGATATACAGTACCACCAGTTCTCTTAGATCCGTCGCTACAAACAACTTTTGTTGTATGCGATAAAAAAGTTTACATATTTGTTCAATCAATTAAAAAGTTTAAAATAGAAATTAGTTTTACCTGCATGACGAATAGTAAATGATGTTAACTAAGGTAAGCAACTAATGGGTTCAACAAAAAATATTATTTTCCTACAACAATCTTAATGTTAATATATATTATATTATCAGTCTTGAGCACGACTTCCCAAATACTAAAACACGAGAAAGAAGAAGTAAAGACATCGTATTTGGTAAGTTATTATTCTTTTTGATATTAATTTTCATAGCATATTTACATCATGTTAACGGTTCACAAATGAGAAAATAGAAATGTCGATAATTTAACATTACATTTGGTATATACAAATTAGTTAAATATATTGCCAGTTATCTCTATATAAAACTAAAAAAAGGAAAAATAATAATAATTGAGTGGTTTCTTTTGTGGGTGTTTCCAACCTTTATAATCATTCAATATATACATACATAATATTATTTTCTCCAATATTATACAATGTTATTTATATACATTACGCACGGTACCTTACAATTTCTATATATACTCATGATTATATACAATATAATTTAAATTATTGATAAAAAAAATTTTTTAACTTAATCAATTCTATCAAGGATTTTATTTAAATTATTGCTTTCATTTGAATATATTTTTTCATCCCTTTCCTCTGCAATATATAAATTGATTTTTTGAGAAATCATTACCACTTTTATATATACATTTACATTGTACATAATTACTCTCAATTACCATATCCCAGTTTATGTTTAAACCATTTACCGTGTAAAACACTCTTCTCTTTATTTTTATTACAAAGAAAAGAAAACATTCACAGGCCTACTTCAACACAAAATACGTTGTGGGGTTTTGTTTATGTTGATGTTTACACAGCCATTCATTATACCTATGAATTTAAGTTACAAATATTTTGTGCTTCCAAACAAAATTAATGGTTTTATTACTTTAATTGCTTTAAAAATAGCTTTCAACTGAAATGCCATTTAACAGTCGACGTTTAGATAACACCATAAGTTGTATTCTTTACAAACCTGTACATTTTTGGGTTTTTGTAACAAAACATCTGTAAATACTTGCTTTAATACCTGAAGTGGGTCGTAATTGAGCTTTGAGCTTATAATGACCCATATAATACAGCAAGTGCAACAGCTAACATTGCAGCTCTTAAAAACAGTTGGGGGTGGTGAGAAGAAATATTAAAATGTTGTAAATTTATAATAGGTTTTGTCATCAAAAATGTGAAAAAAAAAATTGCAAGGAAGCCCAGTCCAATGGTCATTTAATGCAGATTTAAATACAATTAAATTCGGAAGAGAACATTATGAGGGAGACTGTTCCAATTAGATTAGCGACTCTGCAGCTAAAGGAAAACTTTCTAATATCTAAACTAGACCTACTTTTAAACAGTTTAACCCCAAAATCATTAAAGACAAATTTATTTTTGATTTGTAGATTATTGAAGGTGTGATTATTTGATGCAAAAAGCCAATTTCTATTTTTCAGGTTTTAATTTTGTTTTTGGAGACCTATATTAAAGCATATTGAAACACAGAATTTGTTTTGAATCTTACAAACAAATTATAGCGTTTTTATTAATTGCCATACATACTTTTTTAATTTCTTCATAAAAAATATTCAGACATGATGACTAAACACTTTTCGATTAAGATGGATGTTATTAAGAGAAAGGTTCGTTCGTTGTATCATTATCGTAAGTTTTTTATTTTTTTTTTTTGTATTTTTAGAAACCGAAATAATATAATTTACGTAATAGTGTATGTGGCATTGTATTTGTGTGTAAATTTCATAATAGTATAGTATAATCTAAAACTACTACTGCTGCCGCTGCTGCTAGTAATACAACTACTTGTACTTCCACTGCTACTACTACTACCTGCTACTCTTGATATTGCTATACTACTTCTATCTCAAATACCCGTACTATAAATACTGCCACCAATGTTATTAATGCTACTGCTACTGTGGCTGTTGCTAAATTTCTTGGCACCCTTATTAAACATTTCAAATACTATGTATTACTTTCCTAAAACAAAATCGTGTGGCCAATCTGTTTAAATATCTTACAGAGAAAAATATCGTAAACCGCTTGAACGAATTGGAGTTGAAAGTTATATATCTATATCGGAGGACGCCAAGCCGTAGTCCTGCCCAATTAGCTAGAACACCATCAACGACGACGACGACAGCATTCCTAAATCAACTAGAGACTGTCAAAGAAAGAAAAACATCACCCCTTTCAATGAACGGAGAACCATCAAATGTCGTGACGTGGAAAATGAATATGAAAGGTAAGGTCTAATCTCATTTATGATTGGTTAATAGTTTTGTATAAACCTATACTCATTATCACGATATATATATATATATATACATATATATACATATATATATTTATATATACACATATATATATATATACATATATATTTATATATTTATATATATGTATTTATATATATATGTATATGCATATAAATATAAATATACATTATATATATAATTATATAAAGCTTTTCACAAATTTTAACTTTTTTATTTACTTTCAGAAAGATATCTCTATAGTATTCCGATTTTGTTTGCATCGGCTACCATTATATTGACTGTGCTTCTACTGAGTTTACGATATGTACGACGACAAATGATGATACTATGCGGAAGAGAAGAAGGTGACAGATACTATAGAATACTCGGTACCAATAGAAGACCAGATGGAAGAAACTGCGGCTAAATAATATACGAACACAAATTGTTGTATTTTGTTAGTGTATTCAATGTTTATAATTCAAATTACATGAAGATAAACCAACTTATCTGACTGATGCTATAACAAGAAAACTTGAAATCAGAGAAGTAACAGTACGGATACACATCACTCACGGTTAAACTACCCAACTACGGCGTTTAACTGCAGCTTAACTAATTTTAAGCATCTGTCAGTTAAAACAGAAAACTATAAACTGTATGAAAAAAAATTTTTATTTGCATATGAAGAATATTGACACATATTGTCGAAATTTATTTCATTTGGTATACTGTATTAACAAATGAGACCTGTCTATTTTTAAGGATATTGAAACATATTATCGACATTTATTTCATTTGGTATATTGTATTACCAAATACCAAATATGGCAACGGTTATATATTTCATCGATAAACATTGATACCAATCATTAGCAGTTCTAATTATATTTGATAGGCCTAAACTATTATAACTAATTTTTTTTTAGTGTAATATGATAATATTTTCAAATATTCAAAAGAATACGTCTCCAAAGCCCATGTTATCATAAAATCAGTATTATAATTCAACCTATTATAGGCCTATATATTTATAATGAAAAAAAATATGAAATTGATATGTAATAAATTAAATATGATGTCATCTTTTAAAATAATATTTATGTGATTATTATATTATTTTATTATATAATCATTTGAATAATTAATTAGAAATGGCAAGTTATAGGTCAACGGTAACATTATAATTTGAAAATCTTAAGAATTAATAAATGTTCAACAGAATAAATAACATAGTTGGTATGCAACGATTTGCATTTATGCAAATCACCCATGTATACAGTGCGGGCAATGCTAGATTTTGTCAGTCTCTCTGGAAGTAACTTTCTAGAAACATGCGGAGTGTAAAGAAATTATTAGTTGTGGTTGCTTTTGCTCTTACCTTACAATTTTCACTATCATATGGATTGTTTAATGAACATCAACGGGTAAGTAAAGTGTTATTTGTATTCGTATTTAGTCAGTTATGATATCTGAATGATTTCTGATTAACTAACTACAGTATTAACACTCATGGCCTTTTCACAAACGTATGGGCATTTGTAATAGGAAATGGATATTGTTCTCACATGACATAGTGCATTAGGATACCGAAACTAAAGCTTAAGGATGTGTGTCGTCGCAACAATATCCATGATGTTCGTAATATATTCTTTATTTTGTCTTCATTCATTCTAATCGGAATTTGGGCCGGGCACATGGCAACCCGCGGCAGCCGCAGAGCATGCCACCCGATAAATATAACGGACAAAGGGCATATACCAGGGGCAGGCATAAATATCGGTTGAAGGGCCAAAGTGAATTTTTGATTTAACAGTTACAGTATTAACAATAATTGTCATTTAATGACAGAATTTATGAAATATATTAATGCTTGAAACAATAACCCATACTATTGGTATTGAATACTTTGAAAATTGGGTAACATCTATGTGATTTAATCTAATAGCAGTCTCAGTGGAAACTTAGTGGGTTGGGGATAGCCCTGCCCAGACTATAAAATTTTATTTGACAAAATACTGTTGTATGCCCATATATAGTCACGCTGTGCCTATCTTGGCTATCCTCGAGGTCGAGGATGATGGTCTATGTTCCAGTAGATTTGTTGGTGAACTCTCGGGTGAATTATGAGTACAATCCTGACCTTGTCAATGCCAAAGTTATTTGGCATTGAGGGTAGGTAGTTCCTATAGGCAGATCGATATTTGGTCGCAGCTGCCTCTCTCTTCGTTTCCTCCTTTTATCGAATTCTGCACATCTTCAACTTCCCAATTGTTGACATCCATGTTACATTTTTTTCATCATGTCATCATGACCATATTAAGGTTTGTCCAATAAATGTTGATAGTGTGGACATTGCCATAGGTTCCCACTGATATTAGAATTTCTATTACAAAACTTTGGCCAAATGATATATTTATTCATAGGCTTTCATCATATGGCTTACTGTTTTTATATACCGAGATAAAAACTATAGAAATAGTACCATGAAGCATTATTTTTTCATTACATTGACAACGAATGCAAGTTTTGTAGACATGTGGATTATATGTTGTACAACTAGGGTGTCCAGTCATTTAAATTAAATGGTCAAGGCATATAAACAAACACTCATTCTGTATATATTGTTGTCTTTTTTCATAGAATTCTTATTATAGATATTTCTTGCCATGTAATATAAATTTTGGTAGATTTTTTTTTCTTTAAGGTAAAAAACAAGCATCAAGTTGATAAAATAAAACGAAATGGTATGCTGACCACATTTATTTTCTTTACTATGCCTAATTATGTATTAGTATTATCTTGTTTTTTTCTAATTATAACAATTTTACTACACTATATTTAAATTGCTAGAACTGTCTTATATTATGCTGACCACATTTATTTTCTTTACTATGCCTAATTATGTATTAGTATTGTTTTTTCTAATTTTTCGAACAATTTTGATATACTATATTTAAATTGCTAGAACTATATCTTTTATTATCGCCTATTTAGTTTCATACATAGAAAACAATTCAATATTTTCAAGATGTTTGATATGCGATTTCATATCATGAATTAACCTAAATGCGATTTTATTAGAATAAAAAACAAAACATTTGAAATCAAACTATGTTCAAAAGAAAGCTTGATGGATACCATTAATCATTATGTAAATATGTATATAAATTTAGATTTAAATTATCTTTATTATTTTATATTAAATAATAAGCATAGTGAAGTATTTTTAATGAATGATAGCATCATAATATTATTTTATACGGCCAGTCGATATCTTTCAGGGCATTGTAATGGTTTCCAGTGCACGTCGGGAATCTGTATAGACTTTGAATATACATGTGACGGTGACCCATCAGACTGCGAATACAACGGCGAGGACGAAAACTATTACATGTGTAACAGTCGTCGTGAGTGCCCAAGTACTGACCAATATCTCTGCCCAAGTGGCCGATGCATAAAATTGATTTGGATTTGTGATGGAGTGCACGATTGTAGTGATGGATCTGATGAAACTCAAAACTGTTTAAAAAGAACGTGCGATGCCGACCAGTTTCTTTGCAGCACTGGGTCATGCCTTCCAAAGCAACTGATCTGTAATGGATTTGCAGATTGTACAGATGGAGAAGACGAAGCAGCTTGCAACATTGAGGTAGCCTGTGACCCTGATGAGTTTCAATGTGAAGATAAATCTTGTATTAGTAAATCTAAAGTGTGTGATGGTTGGAAGACTTGTTGGCCGAATGGTGAAGACGAGGCAGCATGTAACATCGAGGTTGGTTGTGACGATGATGAGTTTCAGTGTGAGGATGACTCCTGCATTAGTAAATCAAAAGTATGTGATGGTTGGAAGAATTGTTGGCCAAGTGGTGAGGACGAAGCAGCTTGTAATTTTGAGGTTGGTTGTGACGATGATGAGTTTCAATGTAGAGATAAATCCTGTATAGGTGCATCGAAAGTATGCGATGGTTGGAAAAATTGTTGGCCGAATGGTGAGGACGAGGCAGCTTGCAATGTTGAGGTTGGTTGTGGCAGTGACGAGTTTCAGTGTGAGGATAAATCCTGCATTAGTGAATCAAAGGTGTGTGATGGATGGAAGAATTGTTGGCCAAGTGGTGAGGACGAGGCAGTTTGCAATGTTGAGGTTGGTTGTGGCAGTGATGAGTTTCAGTGTGAAGATAAATCCTGCATTAATGAATCGAAGGTATGTGACGGTTGGAAGAATTGTTGGCCAAGTGGTGAGGACGAGACAGCTTGCAATGTTGAGGTTGGTTGTGGCAGTGATGAGTTTCAGTGTGAAGATAAATCCTGCATTAGTGAATCAAAAGTATGCGATGGTTGGAAGAATTGTTGGCCAAGTGGTGAGGACGAGACAGCTTGCAATGTTGAGGTTGGTTGTGGCAGTGATGAGTTTCAGTGTGAAGATAAATCCTGCATTAGTGAATCAAAAGTATGCGATGGTTGGAAGAATTGTTGGCCGAGTGGTGAGGACGAGGCAGCTTGCAATGTTGAGGTTGGTTGTGACGATGATGAGTTTCAATGTGAAGATAAGTCTTGTATAAGTGAATCGAAAGTATGTGATGGTTGGAAAAATTGTTGGCCAAATGGTGAAGACGAGGCAGCTTGCAACATCATAACTTGTTCAAAAAATGAATTTAAATGTGAAGATGACATCTGCATTGATAACGCATTAGTTTGTGATGGTTGGAAACATTGTTACCCACAAGGCGAAGATGAGAAGGATTGTATAAAGTGCGAAAACGGATTCGAATGTAAGGATGGATTGTGTTTAGATAAAAGTAAAGTGTGTGATGGTGTAAAACACTGCTATCCTGGTGGTGAAGACGAGCAGTGTAATATCGTACAATGTACAGATAATGAGTTCCAATGCAGTGACGGTAAATGTATTGACCAATCTTATGTTTGTGATGGATGGACACATTGTTGGCCAGATGGTGAAGATGAATCTACCTGTAACATTGAAGTTGGTTGTGGTGATAATGAGTTCCAATGTGAAGATAAATCCTGCATTAGTGAATCAAAAGTATGTGATGGTTGGAAAGATTGCTGGCCAAATGGTGAAGACGAAGCAGCTTGCAACATCGTAACTTGTTCAAAAAATGAATTTAAATGTAAAGACGACACTTGTATTGAAAGCTCATTGGTTTGTGATGGTTGGAAACATTGTTACCCACAAGGCGAAGATGAAACAGATTGTATAAAGTGCGAAAACGGATTCGAATGTAACGATGGATTGTGTTTAGATAAAAGTAAAGTATGTGATGGTGTAAAACACTGCTATCCTGGTGGTGAAGACGAGCAGTGTAATATTATAAAATGTACAGGCAATGAGTTTCAATGTAGTGACGGTAAATGTATTGACCAATCTTATGTCTGTGATGGATGGACACATTGTTGGCCAGATGGTGAAGATGAATCTACCTGTAACATTGAAGTTGGTTGTGGTGATAATGAGTTCCAATGTGAAGATAAATCCTGCATTAGTAAATCGAAAGTATGTGATGGTTGGAAAAATTGTTGGCCAAATGGTGAAGATGAGTCATCTTGTAAATTAGTAACTTGTTCAAAAGATGAATTCAAGTGTAACGATGATACCTGTATTGCTAGTTCATTGGTTTGTGATGGTTGGAAACATTGTTACCCAAATGGAGAGGACGAGGACAGTTGCAACATTGAAACTGCCTGTGAAGATGATGAATTTCAATGCAACGACAATACTTGTATCAAGCAATATTTTCTTTGTGACGGATGGGACAATTGTTTGCCAAACGGGGAAGATGAACACAGTTGTCAGCTCTTAGGTAAGCCCTTAAAATCATTCTTTCTTTTATGCACAGTGTCAGTTTACCCTAAACGTGTACTATCTGTCAAGTAATAATATATACTTTCAATTTGAAAATAATTTTTATATTTTATACATTAGCGATAGTATATTCTTTACATACAACTTTAAATTGCATAGTAATAAATTGGGTATGGTTGGTATTTGTTTTACAGATGAAGATATTCTGCAAGAGCGACTGCATTCACTTTATGAGAATTTTGAGAAATTGGCAGTTCTGGTGGAATTACTAGAAAATAACGGTAAGTTGACATTATTAAATGTTCTAAATACATAATTCATTATGTGACAGGTAGTTGTACTTTGTGTAGGTGTAAATAATTATACTATACTATCTGTAAAAATTTGAAAACGTCCTTCAAATTTGGAAACCAAAAAAAATATTTTTTTTTATCGTCTGAAGGATGATTAAAAGGTACACGTGCATAAATTAGAAACAGTGATTCTTTTTTTTAAATGTGGGGCAAAATGCATTAACATGTGTCAGTCTAGTATTGACCCTCCATCTGTAATAGTGTCCCCGGACACCCTCTAATTTGAATTCCTGCATCAGCCATTGAAGGTACTTAACACGTTTAATTCTTAATTATAATAATTATAAGTAATAATTAATTATAAGTAAGGTCCACTATTTATACAAAGCGATGTTTCTGTATGTAGAAATCACACCAGAATTGTTGGTAGTTAATGACCGTTGCCATGTTCATATATTATATTATTTTTTAACTGGATGTTCACTTTCAATCAATTCATAAATAGACCTGTAACATAAAACAAAATGTAGGCCTATATATATCATTTAAGTTTTTGTGTATTTAAATTTATAGATGATAAACTTACCGAACGGCTCGATTACTTAGAGAATCAGATAAACGGCCTTCACGAATACGGTAGTCTGGATAAGACGCAGAAGAGACAACTCGACGACAAGTCTTCACTTAACTCTATTAAAAAATTGAATAAACTAAACTCTATTACAAGCCGGATAGAAAAACTCAAAGATCTCTTAAATAGTGCGCACAATAGGTAGTATTACAATAGTACAATACAATAGTATAATGGTAGTAGTAGTACAATATGCCATATTGACAATATCTATCAATTTTGTTATAGGATAACCTACAAATAATTTCATATCATATTGTATATCATGTGATTAAAACAGGATACTGCATCAATGCGTACACATAATTATTACTGTTATCTAATCATTTAAAATAAGACTATTGCTACTAAACAACGTAGCAATAATGATTCATGCACCTATATGTAGACTAACCATTTTTAATATGTTATCAAAGTCGGCTGAAGTGTTGAAACCAATTTAAGTGGAACGTTTAATTACTTCCCGTTTCATAAACCAACAGATAGCATATTGTGATTGAAAGTATAATTAAGTCACATGGTTCTTTAATTTATATTAATTGTTGTTGTCATGATAATACTCGATGAGAAAGAACAGTTGACCAAATATTTAAGTTCTTACGTCACTTTTATGCCTACAAAATAATCATGTAGATTAATAAATTATGACGCTGCAAACGCTTACGTGTTGCAACCAATTTAACTGGGATGTATTACTTCCCGTTTCACAAACCAGCAGATAGCTTGTGATTGAAAGCTTAACCTGAGCCCGGAACGTTCTTGAATTAGTTCTGCAATTTGTTCTTCATGTTGGATATACGTTAAATATTTGGACTACCTATCTACATATTGGTACATTTTACTGAAGCCTACATGATATTTTATTATAGCAAATGTGATTCTCATAAGGATATAAATATATCAAACGTGCCATCGTGAGATAGTTGTGCAAAATGATGCAGAAATTCAGCCAACTAATTATCACATTACAGATAATAGGGATGATTGTCGACACTCAATCTGAGTTACCGTGTAAAATTTACAATTATGATAATGCTGACTGTTCCAGCCGTTTATTGACAACTTTTCCGAAAGACTTACCTTTAAATGTTACACACATTAACCTCCAGTTTAACAATATTGAAGAGCTGAACAAACCAATATTGCGCTATAAGAAACTCGAAAAACTTAACTTACGTAAAAATAAAATTACGTTTGTAAGCAAAGTTTTTATTAACAGTCTGGCATCTCTGAAGTACCTCGATTTATCACTCAATAAATTGAACGGCGATTGTTTACACATTTCCTCTCTCACTAATATATTACACATTGATATATCATCTTCTGGAATAGATGAAGTGTTCTTTAAAAAGCGGCCATTTAAGAATTTAAGAACATTGAACACCCTTATCGTGCGAAACAATCGACTTAATAGAATACCAGCTGGTGCATTCCAGGGATTGGAAGGCTCGCTTGAACACTTAGATCTTTCGAATAACGATATTCACATTTTACCTGCTGAAATTTCGAAGTTGCAGTTCCTGAACAAGCTTGTGCTGAGCTTCAATCCTCTAGGACGCCAGTCTAATTTCAAACTACCAACAACCTTTAATAATTTAATGAATTTAAGATATCTATACTTGTCTTCGTGTGAAATTCACACTTTGAGTAAAGACAGTTTTCTCCCGATTCTCGATTATAATATTACTCTTTTAAATCTTGCAAAAAATAACTTTCGATGTCTAAATGGTTCACTTAATGTTGCAAACATTGATATTCTGAACCTGACGTCAACCGATATATCAACTACGTATGGGCTTCAAGGGGTTAACATTCGTCAGTTATCACTAACCAATTGTACACGTTTGATTAAAGATGGGGTTCTCCAAATGAACATTATGAAGGGTCTCTGTCAAAGTGGATTAGAATCCATCGATCTTTCGTGGAATGGCATAAAAGTGGTCGAAACTGGAGCTCTTTCATGCTTAAAAGAGTTGAAATCAATTAAATTTGAACACAATATGTTATCTAATGAATCAATTCATAATAATGAATTTAGTGTAATGAAGAAATTGCAAACACTATCATTACATAATAATTCATTCAGATCTTTAGACATAGGTGCTCTGGAACCCATTAAAGACACTTTAAATTACTTAAATTTGTATGAGAATCTATTATCAGGACCAATAATCAAAAACAGTCAAATACGTTATCAAAATCTGATTGAGTTTAAAATTTTAATTCGAAATATTGATCTTGAATTAATACTACACTCCCTGGATAGTATAATGCCAAATCTTGAAAATTTATATATACATCAACCAACTAAACACAATAAAGACAAATGTAGGCCTAATACGGCTTTAAACGATCTAGAGCCAACCAACTTTGGTCAACTTGAACTGCAAAAACGACCATTTGCATATTTGAAAACATTTGAATTAAGTGGATATCGATTTAGAGACGCATCAGAATTTGAAAACTTCTTAATTTTTGTTTCTCAAACACTTAATCGCCTTAAAATTGAAGATTGTAACCTTGAAGCCACATTTTCTTGGCACAATTTACCTGATATGAAACATCTAAAATATTTGTCACTCGAAGAAAATAAGATTTCCATATTTCCAGAAGATATCTTAAAAAAAACTTCCCGTTTGTCCCATTTAGATATGTCCTCAAATTGCTTGAAAAAAATTAGTTATTCTGTTATATCTAATCTAACAGATATTGAAATGATTGATTTATCGGATAATGAAATAAAAAATTTAGGAAGTGATTTGTTTCAGCTACCAAAACTTCATACGATGATTCTTTACAATAATGGAGTAAAGAATATCAATGCCGATTTTATATCAGGCTTAAATGGTTTAACATATCTTGATGTAAGTAAAAACAACTTTCAATGTGACTGTGACTTGTACCGATTCAGAAATTGGTTAAATACAGATAAAAAAGTAAATTTACCTGATTTGGCAGAATATGAATGTAGTAGGAATCAGGAAAACGAATGTCTTCTTTTGGAATACAATCCTTCAAGGTTTGTTTGTTTCAGTAGAACTATCTTGATTTGTATTGGATTAGTTGTTGGTAGCATTTTCATTGTATCGTTAGCATCGTTTATATGTTACCGTAGACGTTATTCTGTGAGGTTTGCCTGGTACTGGGTTAAGATTAAATGCCGACCTGGATTGCATCATTATCAACCAGTTTTACAGGCTACTAACGACTTTGATGTTTACATCGCTAGCAGCCCAAATGATTTCTCTTGGATAAGATGGACACTGATTCCTAACTTAGAGGATACGGATGATCCAATCCGCCTATGCATAAAGGAAAGAAATTTTCCAATTGGTGGGAACATCATGGAAGATATCATCGAATTTATTCAGGCTAGTCGAAAAACCATGCTGATTCTTACGCCTGACTTTGTGTTAAATGAATGGAATTATTTTGAACTACAGAGGGCAATGATCCATGCGCTGGAGGAAAAACAAGATTTGATAATACCTGTATTACTAAAACCGATTGAAGATAAAGACCTACCTCGTCTTCTTCGTGAAATACAATTAAGGAAAGGATTTATCGAATGGACAGAGCACCCCCTTGGCAAAGAGCTGTTTTGGAAAGATTTAATCAAAGCAATTCGAGACAACTCAACTGTAAATCGTTACACGCAGTCAGAAATCAGTAAATGGCGCAAACGATCCGTAACATCTATGACATATAGCAATGTTATATAAAAAGTGAGAGAACAACGCTAATATCATTCAAAGTTGATATCTTTCAAAAAGCAACCTGTTTACAGTATTCTGTATTATAGATAAAATTTAAATTTGTCAGTACACCCCATGCTTAAGGGTAGATTAAAGACGTATGTGTGTGTGTGGGGCGGGGGTGTATGTATTGAATATTGTAGGCATAATAAAGTGTTAAGGTCTTCTTCATGTTGTGTTATGAGATGTAAAAAATATATATACGTGATGCATAGCCACCACATATAAGCCTATAAGCGATTGCTTAAGTCAAAATAATTAAATTTGTAGAATTTGTAGAAGCTTTATAAATATGCTTTTATTTTTTCATCATAAAACAAACTATATGTACGGTACGTTTCACTGACCATTTTGTCATTCTGTATTTTAATGAGTTGTACATTTTTGTTTAAAAACACAAAAATATGTCTGATAGGTACCGTACATAATCTGGATTGCTTCTTTCTCTGGGCCCTATCTATATCTCTGACCACCCGGTCGTATATGGCATGGCAAATGTGTAACCTGTCACTTCGCTCGAGTCACCTGGTGGGGGGGGGGGGTCCGGAATGCGCTAGAGTAGGGGCGGATGGTGATCCCTTAGAGAATTTAAATTCTGTTGTGACAGACTGTCACGACTTTTCAACATTTTTATTTATTTATTGTGCAGCGCACAGACGCTTTTTGCATTATGCGCTATTATAAGTAGAACTTATTATTATACATTATTTATTAACATAAACATGTAAAACGAGCTGCTTGGTATATTATGAAGATGATTGATCTTGGAATAAACACAAGCTATTTTCAGTCTTATGTTAGCATCATGTATTGGTCGTGACAATTTCTAGTTTGACTAAGCGATTACGAGCGAGTTTAAGAGCTAAACCATCCTGCGGTAGTAAAAAGTAAATATAGGCTATGAGAATTTTTAAAAAAAATTGCGAATAGTGAATGTGTCGCATAAGTACCCCTGCTTAATATGCAGACTAAATGAAAAATGAAATACAAGTACATTTTTTTAAATAAATTTTCAAATATTTATTAAGATTCCTTAATAACTTATAACTACTTCTGGAGATAAACAATTAAAAAGTGTGTACATTTGCTTCCTTTGTACAATGTATATACATAATAAATACAGTTTATATCTTATCTTCTGCAAAGTCAAATTTATTAAGATATTTATTTTCTACAAGCCAAAATGGCAGAAATTGATTTACAACGTTATGTTTACACTACCATTACCATGGAAGTAAACCAACAATTATTAAATACAAACAATTTTAGAAATAAATTTCGTCCGTCCTCAAACCGTCGTCTTTAAAATATGTTCCCTTTGAGAATAGTAATATTCTCTAACATTCACCTACTTGTCTAAATATTAAAAATACAATTCAATTTAAAAAAAAGTCATTTTCATTTAATGATAGACACACACTCGGTGTAATTTTTGTTTCACAAACAAGCCACCATCTTGTAAAATGTCTCCAGTCACAATAATTATACATACTTAGGCCTATCTAGCTGTGCCTTGTGCGAAATGAATCTGTTTCAGCTTGTAAGCATATTCATATTCACCGTAAAGCTCAAAAGCACATGATTAAGTACAGTATATTATATATCAAAATGCACATTGTGTGTTACAAAATGTCGAAAGATATAAGTATGTACAGTACTTATTTATATTAAATGCTCGGAGAATGTATAAATGTGTTAAAAAAATATTCATACGTAGCATTTAAATATATTGTTTTTTAATAATTCTCAAAGTCGTAAGATTTAAATATAAAAGTATCAATGTCTTCATTAACGATTTTATAAAATTAATTCAAAACACGTTGGTCTATTCCAATGTCAAATGTAGGCCTAGGTCCAACCATCAATCGCAATATGTCTTTATGTTGATACCAAAATATCTTCAAAGGAATAAAAACTTGTTCATCAAATCTGCAGCTGCAGCTTTTACAAGACCCTTGCGATAGCTGTTTTTCAATTCGTCTACAATAGGCCTACAACTATACTCAAAGGAGTTAGCTACTGGGCTAACTTTGTCTCAAACACTGCGTCGTGCTACTGTCTCTTAGGTTAAGTTGTCAGCTCAGTCACCTCAGCTTCCCTTCAAACAAGTCTAATTCCTGGATACAGATGACTACTTACAAAATGATGTCCATAATTGTATAAGAAACGTGGGTACCAGTGAATATTACTATCGTGTTCCGAATAAGACGAGCGCCCCCACAGTTGCTTTTTAAGGCTGTATAACCACCTTACCGGAGTAAAAGAGGCATGAGCTATATATTCACTGTCGATGATTGCATAAGACGATGCTGCTACATCATCAACAACGATTGACCCTTTATAGGTTAAAGGTGCAAATACACCAGTCCTTTCATTAACTGAAACTTTCACAACTTTTTCTGGAATCAAATGTTCTTTGTCCCCATTTTTTACAACTGTAAAAATATATTGTCCCTCCAAAACTCTGCTCGCAAAAGTTGCTCTTGATTCTAAAAAGTTTGATTGTCTATGTGATACGTAAATAATGTGTTCAGCAGTAAGCGTTATAGCATGGGATGGTGTGTGCAGTGTCAAAAATGTTGCATTGTGGTCAGGTTTTGCGTCCATCATCATTATCACATCGCTGTATATAATACCACCATCTCCGTCGACTGCTTTGACACTGTCTCCTACTCTCAAGTCAATCATACGTTTAGTTTCCCCAGTCTCTAGTGTTACTTCAGATTCGGCAGGAAAACAGCCTCCTTCTTTTGAAGCAGGATTTGAATCTGGATAAAATGAAAATACCAATATGTAAACTTTAAAAAAGTGCTCTTCTATTCCAATTTCCACCTCATATTATTAGGGTCTTTCTATGAAAATCAATTAAATTGCTGACACTCATGTATGGTAGCTGTCTCTTATACACATCTAGATGTGTATAAGAGACAGATGATTTCCTTACATCGTATATTTAGGTAAATTATGATATTTGATTTGAAAATTAAAACAAAAAAAATATTGTTTGTCCTTGTCAATTATCAAAAGCATAAAAATCTGAACTATTTAGAGACCCTTAAGTTTACTAGACGAGACAATTTATAGCGGAATCATTGAAGTTGACAATTGAACGTTTGAGGGAACACTTTAGATTTTATCATTGACAGAATACGTTTTAATTTTGTTATCGATGCCCACTGTGTAGGAATTTATGTATTATTATTGTTAAGAGTTTATACATCTTTTTTATTGATGTAAGTACCCTAGAAACTGGTGTTCAACACTAATAGTAATAAAATTGATATTAATACTGTTACTGGACAGGATAAAAAAACAACTGTAGAATAACATCAGTGTTTTTTGTGAAAAAGTCCAAAGTTCACTGATTATTACGTTGTTTTTCGTACACGAAGCAACGAATGTCTACCTTTGTTAGATATTTCAAGTGCACGAGTGTAACCTTCAACACGTAATGATTCGCACATAGGCCTACGATCGGGGTGGTTCCATCGCTTCAGAAACAGTGACAGCTGTAATGATGACAGTAAATGGGGGGGGGGGGTGGATGTCACGTCCCTTTTGGAACCGCTGCTGACGGAAACTAATAAACCACTGTCAACCTACCTGATTTGACCGAAGCATGAATGTATGATCTGCTTTCGTAATAAACCCAATCAAATCCCGCCTCTACAGCAAGCCTCGCCAACATGCCGTACTTGCTTTGGTCCGTGTCGCTTGTGGTGATGTCGACGGCTCTTCCTTCGTAGTGCAATGAGTTCTCGGGATGCCGACTATCTTCATCCCAGGCCTCCACAACTCGCAGTTTAATGTTTTCATCCTTCCAGTGTTTCATCACCATTATTGCTAATCGACTTAATCGATCATTACATCTCTGTGAAATACAACATTATAGCTGTTTAAACTACTTATTTAATTGTTTGGTATACAGTAGTTCTAATAATTCCAATTAAATTTTACTTAATTGAACAAGTCATACACGTGATTCGATCCAGGGTATGAGAAAGACCATACGCAGTAGTTGAATCCAGGTTATGAGAAGCCTCCTACGCAGTATTTGAATCCAGGGTATGGGAAATCCCCTATACAGTATATGAATCCACGATATAAGAATACCATATCGCAGTATTTAAATTCAGTGTACTGTATGTGGAAACTCCTACACAGTATTTGAATGCAGGGCGTTTTGTATACGTAATTCTAGGGTACTAAACATAGACAAGTTCTCTACTTATGTATGTTTTATTATTTTGTTTTTATTTTCAATGATTGAATGAAATGTGAAAATTTCATCGAAATATTTGAGTCGAATATATAAAATCTCTATGCAGTTTGTTTCCAGGTTATTAATAGAAACCTATACGTTATCTATGAACCCATGGTATGAAAGAAATCTTATTTTAAAGACATTTTTGATATATATAACCTGTATACCCTATTGAAAAAACAATTTTCAATAGGCCTAAATGCTTATAAAATGTGTATCCCTTAATTTAGTTAGGTCTCAATCTACATTATTTTGCTGGTGCTGCGTGGGATTCCATTTCATGAATTGTTGTTCTGGATTGGTCTGGTTGTTGGATGGTGTTTTATTCGATATTTGTTTTTCTTTTGTATTTTCTCTGTATTTTTTATGTTCTCCTTCTTGGAGGTGTTTTTTGAATAAATTGAATTGAAATTGAATTGAATTGAATTACCTATACACATATGGTTCGCACTGTATGTGTTTTAATTTCCAGGTTGTACCGCATAGTAAACCACCAATTGAAGAAATATTTATAGTGGCGTATTGGCGACTTCTGATTAATTTAGGAATTAGATGATGCAGAAGAATGATTTCTTTACATAATTAAACGGTAAGATGGTTCCATTCAGAAACAGAGTAGCATATAGGGGACACAAGTTTAAATGTTCGTTCGTAGTGTTTGTTTAGTGTTAAGAACAAGTTCAAATCATATGCACTGGTAGGTTAGTCCTCAGTAGAATACTTAAACAACAACTTTATACTATGAGAATCATACTTTTATTCATTTTAGAAAAAAGTATCAAACACTTATTAAAATATCAAGATTTTTTCTTGTTCACATTTCATAGATTTATAAGAATTAGGCCTATACCTCAAAATCACCACATTTAAGTATTTTTAAATAATTATACTTAATTTTAGAGCGCTGGATTTTAATTTTATATTGGAATTAATTTTATATCTCCAAATAATACGCTAATTCTCTTATGTTTTTTCCGTCCTACACACTACTGATAAATTCAAAATTATTGTTAAATTGTTTATTGCCCAAATATATTGTGCAGGTTTATATAGTTTATTGATTTTCAACCGTCATGAATTTATTAATTGTCAAAAATAGTTTTCATAGACCTCAATATGCATGGAGACTCCTGATGTAGCCTAGAGTTCATGGTTAAAAAAACGTTCAACAAAATGAGCATGAATTTACTGTCTAGATCTTTGTAAAAATATCAATTCTCTGCCAGTGATTTACAAGTGGGACTGGTGATAGACGATTGTGATTGAAATGGCCGTGATTATGCTCGGGGATCACGCATGCCAATCATTCGTCGGAATTGACGTGTTCAGTGGAGCATGTAATGGTAACAGCCCTGTCTTTGTTATTCTCAACACAATATTTGCACAAATACTGGCAAGTTTCACTCTAGCAAGTGTAATCACCTTGGTTTTAATGATACCGATTACTTAATTTAGAAAATAATAATAAATAGCTTATATTATTCAGTAAAAACTTGAGGTATCCAGTTACATGAAAATCATGACTACACACAAATTATGAAGCTTTCTTCTTCAATCAATTATTGAATTTGTAGGACGGTGTGAAATTTCATCGTTCATTCAATATCAGTGATCATGAATGCGAGGTGTGTCAAAAGATAAGTTTGTTGTCATCTATAAGTCGCTAATGGGACAAATAATACGCCCATCGTGTATTGGATGAACCAAATAAGTATGAAATCAATATCCCTACATACGCCTACTCGTGAACATTTTAATACTTTTAGCTCGTCTGTTATACAAACATTATCTATGATGACGATAATGATGAAGATGATGGTGAGGGAATGAGCAGGAGGATGATATTAAATGATGGTGATAATAATAATGATGATGAGAATGATGAGGATGATGATGATGATGATGATGATGATGACGATGTTGTTGATGATGATGATGTTGATGATGATGATGGTGATGATCATGTGACATGATGTGAACACTTAAGTGAAAAGAAAATAATATTAAAGTCATGTTCGTGTCACAGAGATTTTGCTCTCCGTAAAGTTGGGAAAGTACGTAGCGAATTCGATCTCCTTCTCTCCGGGGCGAAAATCTCAGTTGAATTTGGCCCATGTGAGCGTTCTTAACTAAACTGTTTTCTACCAGACCAATTTCGTAGATTAGGCAGAAAAATATACGCCTATATATATATATATAAGATGTGTATAAGAGACAGTATATATATATATGTATATGTGACGTAGATAAATCGTAAATGATATGTATAATTAAGGCGGATTATAATAGGCGGTAACAACAAAGAATATAAAGATAAACGAAAAGGCTAATATGCCGAATGTAGGCCTATGATCTCGATGGCATGGGAAAATTAAAATTAAGATAAAAAATAACAATTTAAAGGGCCTATATATATATCATGATTTATATATACAGAATATATATATATATATATATTAATATAGTATTTATGGTCTAATTGCCATGTTGCAAACTATGTAGACAGTTGGTCTTTTGATAACATGGGTGAGTTTAATAGACCCATACTAAAAGAAGAAGACTAATTACCGAGTTTATGATTATTTTTGATTTTCAAAGTGCATAAATATAAGATTCAAGTGCAATGAAGCGATTTTGTTGACTTGAGGTCGTTTATTAATGTTCCAGTCACTATTGATGAGTTAGCGGCTTGATTTTGAATATCATAAAGATCGCAACACATGGATAAGAATGTTTGAATAATTTCGATATTAGGCCCTATAGTCCCAAAAGTCAATGAAGCCGATATATTGTCATTAAATAACGTCGCTCAGGCGGAGTTTCTTTATTAATTGCTCCTAACCTGTAGTGGCCCCTGTTCTCTAAAAATGAATATTTGCCAGGGCTTTGTTGTTATTCTGCTTATTTAGTAACCTGGGCTTGCAGTACATCGCCGCCCGTAGTTGAATTCACCAACTAACAAATCCTATGCCAAAAAGCTTTATACTGTAAACTACAGCTGTTTACCGAACCTAGTAGACCTAATAGCCATGCAAACCATCTGTACAATTCCGAGCATAGAGATGTACCGTTTAAAGACACAAACAAAAACTAGTATTTTACATGTTTACAATAATTGATAAAACAAAAACAATTGAATACAAATTTAGAATTTGGTTTATTGAAGCTATTAAATATTTCTTTCTGATTTTTGTGTAATAGGCTTATAATTATGTATATAAAGATAAAGGCCTAGGCGTACATTATAAGTAAAATGGGACAGAAACTTTTTGTCACGGGAACGAACCTCTTTTACATGGCACTCCGTCTATTGTGAAACTTTTTGCATTTCATTCAACGTGTATAAGTATTTGTATTATTAATTTTTAAAATGTATTTACTATTACTATCATCATCGTCATCATCATCATTACCACTTAAAGCCAAAATTTCACGTGTCCACGCAGCATTATCGCACCTGGCGAAAGCCTATTATTATGATATCTGGGGTTGCTAGGCCTATACAAAGTCTAGGCCCAGGTGGATACGGAGCGGCTTATCGACTCATGAGTTGGATGTTTGCACTTGGTATCAAAGCATGGCCCTTTCGGCATACAGACGGTGATCCGTATGTTAGCTTAGATAGATAAAGTCTTAAAAACTTATCGCAATCTACGAAGCACAAGGCAGTATAATTAAGCTTTGCAAAATATGTATGAGCAAGGGCATCCTAATGCTCAACCAAATACGGTACATTATGAAACATCTTTCGATCAGAATTAACTATAATATGTCTATCTCTTTGTTACAAGGATTTGATATTACTCTATTATTGATTCAAAGGTGTAGCCTACATTATCATCATATTTCTTGTGAGTAAATTGTCCTTACTACACTTTTATGACTTCTACCATGAATGATTTTCCCATATTTCTGGACGAGCCTAAAAAGGTTCGAAGTCTGAGTTCATGCTTTATTGCTTAATTTACTTTAGCATGGTCTACCTCCACGTCTGTTCTATACCTGGCTCATTACCTGCCCACCTAAGCGTCAATTCTTCTGACAAAATGTTTCTTTTGTTTGCAATAACCGCGCTATAGTCACAATGAATAGAAGTTGATAATTGACAGCGATGCTATAAACGTAAGAGGAAAGAATGAATGATTTGACAATGCAACATGTGGTTAACTTAACTAACACCAATGCCATAAAAACATGCTCCATTCCCATTGCCAGTTAACATCCGGTTTACTAAGATAGGATAATATATATGTATAGATTTTATTGTAAAATTCAATTCAATCGATTCAATACATCATCAAAATGTAACTATTACATTTTTTTTTTTATTAATTAGAGTAGAGTATAAAAATTAAATTGATGACTAAGATAGGTCAGGTCTACGAGTGTGTGTAACTAATATGTAGGAGACCGAAAGAGTTCAACCCAAGTAAACTCTGACAAAGTTCAGAAGATGAAAAAGTAATGTAGTTATAAATATCTCAATTAGAGCCATAAACATACAATAGAGTCGGTGGCCGCAATTAGTTGTATGGTTAGGAGACACCACATTCATAAGTTTTTTCCAATCGATTTAATCAACATTAGCTTTTTCAGAGTTATCAATT